TGCTGCAGAATAAAGTTTCTGCCAATCACGCACCTCCCTGATGGTATGACATGATGGATAAATATCTGCCTGTATTTCTCAGCATTGAGGACACCATTGATACTGACCAAATCTCAAATTCCATTTGAAGAAATACAGCCCCAAACCTGCATAAACCTCCACCATGCTTCACTGTTGCCTGAAGACACTAATTATTGTACCACTCTTTCGCAAACAAACTATCTTTTGCTACAGCCAAATGTTCCAAATTTTGACTCATCAGTCCAGAGCACCTGCTGCTCCCTGCTGCTTTGTTCCAGTGGGAGTTGTCTTTTGCTGCTTTCTAAGAAGAGTGATTCCATGGAGTGGAAGTGCATACACCTAGAGAAGATTTGTGCCTGAGAAACATGCTGTGTCTGCTGTACGTTTTACAGTTTATGGTCTGGTGAGTGTGCATTTCAATAAGGTGGTGTCACTCTGTGTTTTCGTTACACTACGAGAATCTACTGGATGGTGGAAGCTCTTTTTTTTATCTGAGTCTTTGACTGACGAGAGATTTCACGTTTGGCACTTGGAATACTGTTTATTTATTTTGTATGTTTTTGTTATATTTACTGGTGCCGCATCATTTCATGATATTGTATTCCTGTTATTGATCCTGTCATCTCTGTCCTAAAAATATCTCACTGTGTTGGAACACTCCTAAAGGCTCTCTATAAGGCTGCGGGCTCAGCCCTGCATTCAGCTCTAACTGCAATTTCAGTATGTCAAACTGCACCTAACTAGACTAAGACAGTGAACAACCAACATGACCCTGTATTTCAGAATCATGCTGTCAAAGAGAAAATACAGAAATTGCCTTCTGCTTTGCTTTTTTGTGTGGATGTCCAGAATGGTTCTAATATCCATTCACATACTCAAAATCATACTCAAAAAGCTTCCTGCAAGAGGAGCCTCACATGTATGTCCTTCTAAGGAAGACATCTGTTTGATGAAGTGAAACCACTCTCCTCAGGAGCTCTAGCTCCTCAAAAAGCAGAGCACCTGTCTGCTCTAACCAGACTTCAACTTCAACTAGCCTTCCTCAAAACACGCTTCACAATGAAGGGTGCCCTCATTTCTAAGGGGGGATTTTCAGTTAACCACTTTCCGACTGCATAATCTAGTTATAGAGTGGCAGAGTGGCTCTTCTGCTCCGAATCACATTCCTAGTATGGGATCCGGCACTTCCGGGTAGGGAGCACGCACACTGCCGGAAACCCAACTGTGCTATGATTAGACACCGCAAAAGCCAATCAGCAGGTGCCAGCCAATGAATGACCACTGGCACCCACTGATTGGGGAGGAGAAAGGCAGAACTCTGTCCTGTCTATGTAAACAAGGCAGAGCTCTGTCCTGTTACCGGGGATGTGCTGAATTTTGTTACCCTGCAAAGCAGGGTATAAAATCCAGCACTTCGCTCAGTGAAAGCACCACATAGTACACACAAAAACAGTGGTTAGTCACATATTTACCCTATGATCACCCTAGATTTTTAACCCCTTCCTAGCCAGTGTCATTAGTACACATTATTTAGTACTGATCACTGTATTAGTGTCACTGGTACCCACAAAGTGTCACAAGTGTCGTTGTCAGGTTGCCCGCTGCAATATTGCAGTCCCACTGTAAGTCGCTGATCACCGGCATTACTAGTTTAAAAACTATATATAAATTCCAGTATATATACCATAGTTTGTAGATGCTATAACATTCATGTAAACTAATCAATATACACTTATTGGGATTTTTTATAAAAAATATGTAGCAGAATACATATTGGCCTAAATTTATGAAGAAATGTAAATGTTTATTTTATTGGATATGTTTTAAAGCAGAAAATAAAAAATAGTAATAAAAACACAGTAGTGATCAAATACTACCAAAAGAAAGTTATATTTGTTGGAAAAAAATTATATAAATTTTATTTGTGTACTGCGTTGCATGACCATGCAATTCTCAGTTAAAGTAACTCAGTGCCAAAAAGCAAAAAATGGCCTGGTCATGAAGGAGGGTAAATCTTTTCTCTGGGTTACAGATGTCCTAGTACTGTTCAATCTGTGGTTTCAAACTCTACTACCTCACTGCTTTTTTCTTTTAAAAAACACAAAAAATGCCCAAGCACAGTCCCGTGGAGCTGTGCCAGTACCTCTACAAGCTCCAGCCTTGGATGTCCTAATTATCCCCTTGTCTCAGTTCAAGCTTATTTATGCCTTCCTTCCCTTGCTAATTCTGCCTTGCCTGCTCCACAAAATACAGCAAGAGAGAAGACACGTTGATTCTAATTGCACCAGACTGACCCAGAAGAACCTAATACACAGTCATACTCAGACTTCTAGCAGACAACTCTTGGCCTCTTCCCAGCAAACAAGATTTGCTGTCTCATGACCCACTATTCCATCCTGCTTCACAGTCTCATGGCAGTTGAAACCTAGTTCTGAAAAGATAGGGGGTTTCTGTGTCTGTTTACAACCTTGCAGAAAGCAAGAAAAGCCACTTCCAGGAAATCTTACTTGGCTTTGTGTGAACAAAGTCAGTTTAGTTCCAGAAATTACTTTGGATCTCACATTTTTGCCTTCCTGTAAAGGACTTCACTAGGGCTTGGCTCTAAGCACCTTTGAAGAGTAACTCCACTTTTGCTGACAAAAAATGTTTCCCAACTGGGTTCCCTTTGGGAGTGTCTCACCTAAAAACTCATTTTTGTTACAGGGGATGCTCAAAATCTAACTTGTATCTTAGTGCAATCGGTAAGCCAATCACTGAAGCAGGAATTTACACTTCTGGGGGTGTTCTGTACACCATCTGTATACAGAATGCTTCCATGTAGCCATATTGCATTGCATTTTACAGAAACTTACAGTCCTGTCGTTTGAATTTAATTACAATATGACTTGTGCCACAATATACACTATATTGATTTTTTTATTTGCTATTTTTTCCCATGAAATTGGAGTTACCCTTTAAAGAGCAGGTGTCAGCCTTATCCATCCTCTTTCAAAGGTCTTTGGCTTTGCATTCTGTTGTAAAAGACCTTTATTCAAGATGTTTCTTGTATCTGGCCCCCTTTCAGGACTCTGTGCTTCGCTAGGACTTTTATTTTTGGTTCTCTCTGCCATGCAGAAAGCACCCTTTGAATCCATCAGGGATTCTTGCCAGCAAAGTAACCTTTTTGGTTTCTATCACATCTGTCAGACATATCTCTGATCTGGTGGTCCTTTCCTGTAAAGAAACTTTCCTCATACTTCAGAATGACAAGATTGCCTTTATGCCTAAAACCATCTTTTCTTGTAAAGGTGGTTTTAGCGTTCCATGTCAATGAGGACATTGTTCTGCCATCCTTGTGCCCTGCTCTTATGCATCCAAAGCAACCTTAAAGCTACTGCTTCCATCAGACAAATAGATTTCCTGTGTATTCTTTCCTGAGGACCTCGCAAGAGGCAAAGTTTTACTAGGTGGAATCTTCTGTGGATGCAGCTTTTGCAGTGACACTCTGAACTTGGCTCCTTTGATCCCTGTTGCTTTTTGGGCCTGTTGGCACAGTTCTGTTTGCCTAGTTGTTGCCCACCCTTTGTATTCATTGCTTGGAGACATCCCATGGTATATAACTATATTGCCTGTGTCCTGTACTGTACAATTAACATTAAAGGAATTTTGACTTGCCTGTAAATTCCATATTTTGAAACACAGTACAGGACACCCTCCCTTCCTTAACAGTTGGCTAGAAAAATTCAGGTTGTGGCTATGGCTACTCCAAGGGTAAAGTGATTTCTCAGTGGTAACCATTGTTTTTGACAACAGGATTGTATTTTCAAATAGGAAACAGAGCAGTGATGGGATTAATCCTTTTGTACTTTTACTCTGTCAGAAAAAAGAGCAACGATTGCAATCTTAAACCTGTAAAAGGCTACAAGCTAGTGTTTTATGACACACAGAGAGATGCTCTCTTCTCTTGCTTAAGAGCTGCCAAGAAATAAAACAGATCAAGCAAGTAAAAATAGATCACATTCAAAATGTATGAACGTAAGTGTGTTATACAAGATGTAGCAGAGCCTGTATTCTACTGTTCATTAACACAAGATAGTTTTAACAGCAGAGAGGCATTTATCTCCTGCAGTTAAACATTTACGTGGATGTTGATTATAAGAAGACATGTCAGTCTAAATATAGGTAGAAATATTAGCAGCAGCTGCTTTCTTATGCTGTGCAGTCTTTCCAACAAGCTCCCTAGCTCTGTTCTTATACATTCAGTAAATATAAAGACATTTTCCCCCTGTGGAATGGTAAATAATCTTTATCTCCTACACTTCTGTTTCACTGTACTATGCATTGTCCTACCAAATACAAGCAGTTTTATTTACTTTCTTTAGTGGGTGGTTTTTAGCTTTGCATATTGTTTAGGATTATGCTGGCACATTATACACCGCCATGCAGTGACTGACTATTAAAGTGTAACTAACGGCAAAACCTTTTTTTTCTCATTTTAGAGTAAGGGAGGATTATACCCCGATCCGGTTTTTTTTAATATGTATCCCATTGAGGAGATTTCCCTTCAATTATTGTCCCTTAGCCAAAACAGGAAGCAAGATGAAATCCCTCCAAAGTGATGGAATACCAGTGTGTCACCAGAACTAGTGTTCCCGTTGGAAGATTTTCCTTCTATTGCTGTTCTTATGTCAACCCAAAATTTGGGATTTTCTTTAATTTTCAGTTTTGATGATAATGGTAAACAGGACAAATCAAGAGGGTGACACCCCCAAAAGAGATATCTATAAAAGCTGAAATGTGTTCTAAACCCTCTCCACTCTATCCCAAAAAAAAATTCCATTCAGTTACACTTTAATAGTTGACTTTAAATGGCTGAATCTGACTGACAAACATATCTATACCCCAAAACATAAATGTGATATATTGCATCTTCTGTCCTTAGATATGGCTGTTGCAACTACCAGTCTGGGCCAATTCTGACATTCCTCTCCTACAACTACAAAACATTATTTTTGCTAAAAAATAACTTAGAACCCCCGAACAGTACATATTTTTTAACCTCCCTGGCGGTTTTCCTGAGTGTAGTTCGGGGTAAAGTTTCAGTACCACAAGCAGTAACCCCAAGCTACACTCGGGCTTACCATGCGGCGCTGCTCCGGGGTCTGTTCTTCTCTTACCTTGTCCTGCGCTCCCGCGATGTCCCTCCTGCATTGTCCCCAGCAATGTAATCCGGCGGATGCCGGCGTCTGTCATCTGGGTTCCGTCCCCTGCGAGCGTCGGGACGTACGGGGGACGGAATGGCGGGAAATTTGAAAATGACAAAAAGTGGCATTCACTAAAATCACATAGCAAAACATTACTGTATCAAACCATTTTACATACATTTTGTCCCTAGTGCTTTGTCCTTTGCCCTGCCTGCATTTTTACTGTTCTTTCTGCCTGGAAACTGAGAAACATCCATGGTGTCCAAAAAGTGTCCCTTTTAGGTCAAAAGCAGTTTTAGAGCAGCTAGAGAACAGTGATAGTAAATCAGAACCACTTGCAGAATTGAGTGATAATGATTTATGGGGAAATTCGTCATCAGACACTGAAAATGATTCTGCGACTGTGCTCAGTGATGTGCGAGCTTGGCGCTATATTTCAAATTTCAGTGTTTTTGGTTTGATTATATTATTGAATTAAATTTATTATTATATTATTATTTTTTATGATTATTTATTAAATTATAATTTATGATTTCGTGTTCCAAGTTTTATCCTACCCGGGATGTTTACTAGACTCTTGTTGGGACAGATTTCAGTGAGTTATTCCTAAAAATTACAGGCCTACAATAAAAAAAAACCTATTTCCATGCAAAAAAATGTACCGCTTTGAGCACAGAAATATGGACATAATCATACCGCTAGGTAGGTTAAGCAGAGTTCCTGGAGAATTAAATGGTAGATGTTGCATATTTTTATGTCACACAATATTTGCACAAAAACACAATAAAATTAGCAATTTTTTGGTAAAACATAAAAGATGATGATACACTGAGTAAATGAATTATAAAACATGTCACGCTTTAAAACTGAACATGCCAGTGGAACAACGCCAAACTACAGTAGTTAAAAATGTCTATAGTCGACTCTTTAAATGCCTTTGCAGGGTACCAGTTTCAAGTTACACAAGAGGTCTGGAGCTCAAATTATTGCTCTTGCTCTGACATTCATGGCGATTGTGCTGCAATTTCCATTTACATATGTGTTCAGGACCAGCATATGCATTAGCATTTGTGTGCAAGCACAGGGGGATAGGGAGATTTAAATTTTTTTAATTTGTATTATTTATTTTGATTCTTTTACACTGTCTCTTAACTTTCTTTCTATTGCTATTGCAAGGGATGAACAACATCCCTTGTAATAGCATGGGCCATGACGGGGCCTCTTTATGGAGATATCTTGGGTCTATTAGACTCCATATATTTTCTTTAGCCTCCAAAGCATCTGTTCAAACTGAGATTGGTTTTATCCAAGCTTTACATAAGACCAACACCCGAAGTGACAAATTCCTCATTGCTTCTGATTTCTGACAATACACAGGAACCAGATGCCACCAGTCGCATCCTTACCGGGATCCCCGATTGCTTGGGAGAGCCTGGAAAAGGAGGCAGTGGCGGGAGGAAGAAACCCCCTTTCACCATCTGTAAAATTAATCCAGCAGCTGTATAGCTGCTAGGATTACTTTTAGAGTGAAGGGAAAAATGTTATTTCTGTCAGAGCTATCACCCTTCCAATCCAGTGATGTACCGGTACTTTGCTGGAGGGGGAGTGGTTAATAACTGTCACAAGAGACAACAAGCACAAAGAGTTGACAGGTCAGAAGATTTTTAGCAGGTTCAGCAGGTATTTTTTTTACACTTACCGAATGGATTCAGCAAACACTTTAAATGTTATATTCAATAGACCAGAATAATAATAAGAGAAATTTGTTCTTAAGGTTTACATATAACGTAAGTCATAGTAGCGTAGGTTTTTCTACAGCAATCTGAATTAGTTGAAAAGCCAAAGAGGTTGCTTCTTAGTGCTGTAAAATGTTAAGAAAAGTACTGATATGATGTTATAAATAAAATAATAAATAAATAATGCTATTTCTGTTAGTGCTGGTTCACATATATGCGGATTAGATGCGGTGTGAACCGCATCCAATCCGCTTGATATGTGAAATAATATTGCTTCCTATGGTGCCTGTTCACATATGTCTGGTGCACTGGCAGTGCGGATTTAAAAAGAGTGCTGTTCGATTTCTGAGTAGTGTGGTCCAATTTAGGTGCAGATTACAGGCTATTGACTTCTATGGGAACTGTTTCTATACCGCACATGTGTGAACAGGATAAAATCTTGACCTGAACGTGATGTAAACTTGACCTGAACTGCTGAACAACTACTGTTTCAATTAGCTGTGAAACCCGAGCTTCAATCCGCACTGTACAAGTGTGAATCAGCTCTTAGTGTCAGTTCACATATTAGAGTCTTAGTCCATAGGGTTCAATGTTGAGTTGGCCCACCCTTTGCAGCTAAAACAGCTTCAACTCTTCTGGAAGGCTGTCCACAAGGTTTAGGAGTATGTCTATGGGAATGTTTGACCATTCTTCCAGAAGTACATTTGTGAGGTCAGGCACTGATGTCGAATGAGAAGGCCTGGCTCGTAGTCTCCTCTCTAATTCATCCCAAAGGTGTTCTGTCAGGTTGAGGTTAGGACTCTGTGCAGGTCAGTAAAGTTCCTCCACCCCAAACTCTCTCATCCATGTCTTTATGGACCTTGCTTTGTGCACTGGTGCGTAGTCATGTTGGAGCAGGAAGAGACCATCCCCAAACTATTCCCACAAAGTTGGGAGCATGAAATTAACCAAAATGTCTTGGTATGCTGATGCCTTAAGAGTTCCCTTCACTGGAACTAAGGGGTCAAGCCCAACCCCTGAAAACAACCCCACACCATAATCCCCCCTCCACCAAACATTACACTTGGCACAATGCAGTCAGGCAAATACCGTTCTCCTGGCAACCGCCAAATCCGGACACGTCCATAAGATTGCCAGACAGAGAAGTGTGATTGGTCATTCCAGAAAAAAATGTCTCCACTGCTCTAGACTCCAGTGGCGGTGTGCTTTACACCACTGTATCCAATGCTTTGCCTCCTTGCACTTGGTGATGTAAGGCTTGGATGCAGCTGCTCGGCCATGGAAACCCATTCCATGAAGCTCTCTATGCACTGTTGTGCTAATCTGAAGGCCACACAAAGTTTAAAGGTCTTTAGCTATTGACTCTGCAGACAGTTGGTGACTTCTGTGCACTATGCACTGACCCTGCTCTGTCATTTTACGTGGCCTGCTGTTGTTCCAAGTTGCTTCCACATTGTTATAATACCACTAACAGTTGACCGTGGAATATTTAATAGCAAGAAAATGACACGGATGGACTTATTACACAGATGGCAACCTATCACAGTACCATGCTTGAATTCACTGAGCTCCTGAGAGCGACCCATTCTTTCACGAATGTTTGTAGAAGCAGTCTGCATGCCTAGGTGCTTGATTTTATACACCTGTGGCCATGGAGGTTATTGGAACACCTGAATTTAATGATTTGGAGGGGTGTCCCAATACTTTTAACAATATAGTGTATGTATGGTGCACTGGCATTGTGGATTCAGTGCAGTTTGAAATAGAGTCATGTACGATTTCTGAGCAGTTCAGGTGCGGATTACAGGCTATTGACTTCTATGGGAACCGTTTCTAAACTGCATATGTGTGAACAGGTTAATTCTGAGAGCTAATTCTGTCCTGAACCTGATGTAAACCTGACATGAATCGATGGACAACTACTGTATTAATTAGCTGTTAAAACTAAGCTTCAATCGGCACCGCACTTATGGGAATCAGCTTGAAAAACCTTTGCCCTGTGAAACTCACAAGCACTGTTTAGAAGGAACAATACAGGAGCAGTGAGGAGGGATGGGAGAAGTGGCTTGCCACCTAGCTATCCCTCTGTATGGATATGTGTGCGTGCCAGCCAGGAGCTTGCACACAAGCTGGCTCCATGGCTCCCTGTAAGGGGATGAAGCCACCCAGAAACAGGACCCAGGGAAAAGAGCACTTTGATACAAAATGCAAAGTTTAATAACACTTAAGCAGGAAGCTTGAATGAGACTGTCAAATACAGAGTTCCTTTCAGTGGTTAATCTTCAAATCAGATTCAAATGTACTTGCTATATTATTAAAAAATATAGAAGACCATAAAAAAACTTTAAAGTTAATCGGAGGTCAACTATGAATGTTTAAGCATTTACGTATTCTTAACTAGCAGTTAATAAGATTTAAAACAATCACTGACCTCTGCAGCTGCAGATACTGTGGAGCAATTAATCTTCAAAATTCAGAGTAGAAACACCAAAGTCATCAAGGTCACTTTCTCAGCAGCTCAGCACACCCTGTTCCCTTATCTCAGAGCTTAGTTCTTTGGTAAGAGGTAGAGATTCGAACGCTAGAAAGGTGCCAAGTTTCTGAAGGGAGGGGGAGCAGGGATATCTGATCTAAAAAAAAAACACTTTGATAATTTAAGTGTTTCTGCTTTGAAATTTGAGAAAATAATATCCCACAGTGGCTGAAGCTACAGAGGTCATAGACAGTTTTTAATGTATTAATAAACCCAAAAGTAAACATGTATTATATTGCAACTTAACAGTTCTTAGATGTGATGGCTGCATTGGTTTTCTTTTGTTAGACTTTATTTGATTTATTTCCATCTGGCAATCTGGCCAGTAAGTCTTTTATTTTTTTAACAGAACAAGCTGTCCTTCAGATATAGCAATTACAGTGTTGAGACAAACCATTTACAACTGACAGGGGTGCTTACAATGATCAGCTTTATTTATTTATGCTATTATTATTATGCAGTACTAACAGTTTGCGCAGCACTTTACAACATGAGGGCAGACAGTACAGTTATAATATAATTCAATACAGAAGGAATCAGAGGACCCTACTTGTTAGAACTTACAATCTAAAAGGGAATGTCAAGGGATACAAGGTAATAACTGTGGGGGATGAGCTGATGGAGAAAGTGAAATTACAGTTGTTAAATGGAGGCAGGATAGGCTTTTCTGAAGAGAAGAGTTTTCAGGGATTTTATAAAAGTGGATAGAGTAGGAGATAGTTGGGCAGATTGGGGTAGGGAGTTACATAGGATGGGAAAGGCTTGGGAGCAGTCCTGGAGACATGCAAGAGAGCAGGAGGTCTTGAAGAGCATAAACTGGTTGGTATTTTGACACAAGGTTAGTGATGTAGCTGTGGACAGATTTGTGGATGGCTTTTTGATTGTTAGTATTTTGAATTTAATTAATTGGGTGAGTGGAAGCCAGTTGAGGGATTGGCAGAGAGGGGTAGCGGACACTGAATGGTTGGTAAGGTGGATGAGTCCAGCAGCAGCATTCATGGTGTTGACTGAAGGGAGGATAGCTTATGTAAATGTAATCCAATGAGGAGGGAGTTGCAGTAATTGAGGCAAGAAATAACCAGGGAATTAATTAGAGCTGTGTAGTGTCATTGGTTTGGAGGGGGCATATTTTGAGGATGTTGCGGAGGTTGAGGTGGCCAGCTGTGAACAGTGATTGGATGTGGATATGAAAGGAGAGTTTAGAGTCCAGGATCACACCTAGCCCCCTGGCAGGTGGGGATGGGTTGATAGTTGTGCCATCAATCTTGGCAGAGAAGTCAGGGGAAGGGGCACGGGGGGGAAAGGAGAGCAAATACTATGATCTTGGTTTTGGATAGATCGAGTTTGAGGAAATGGTGTGACATCCAGACTGATATGTATGTACGAAGATTAGAGTTGCAAGAGGAGACTGATGTGAGCTGGATTTGTGTGTCATCAGCATAGAAATGATATTGAAAGCCATGGGAGGCTATCAGCTGACACAGGGAGGAGGTGTAGATCGAAAATAGGAGAGGTACAAGAACAGAAACTTGGGGGACTGCAACGGAAAAAGGAAGAGGAAAGGAGGAAGTAGAATTGTAAGTGACACGGAAGATGCAGTGGGATAGATAGGTCGAGAACCAACAAAGAATACAGTCATGGAGACCAAAGAGGTAAAGTTTTTTTTGTGGAGGGGATGGTCAACTGCATCAAAGGCAGCCAAAAGGTGCAGAAGTAGGAGCACAAAATCGTGTCCTTTGGTTTTTAGCCATTAGTAAATTGTTTTAGGAGAGCAGTTTCTGTGGAGTGTTGAGGTTGAAATCCAGACTGAAGAGGAAAAGGGGAGCAAGGAGATGGGGGGCATAGGTTGGTAAGATTGGTGGAGTCCAAGGAAGGTCCTTGTGCATGTTTTAGAGAGTTGGGGAAGATGCCAAAATAAAGGGAGAAATTGAAGATGTGAGTTAGAGAGTGTAGGATGGAGGGTGACTGTAGTATTTGAGAGGGAACAGGGGGCAGGTGGTTAGGTGGGCGCTATAAGAAAGTTTAGCAACCTTGTCTACAGTAACGGGGTTGAATGTGGGAAGTATTGAGTGTACCTGTGGACATGAGGTGTTAGGGGGGGAAGTACCTGTACATGGAGTTCTCATCACAAATTGTATCAGTCTTATTTTGAAGTTACTGTCGATCTCCTGGGCAGTGAGTGAGGTTGTGGGTGGATGGCAAAGTAGAGAGTTAAAGGCAGAGAAGAGTTGACGGGGTCTGGATGAGAGGTTGTTAACAAGAGTGATAAAATAGGTCAGCTTGGCAGTGAGGAGGCAGTAATTGTAATTTTTTGAGGTTGGATTTATATTGGTTGATGTCTTTCTGAAACGTAGTCTTATGCCACAGACACTCAAGATAGCGGCTACATTTTTTGAGACTTCTGGTGTCATTTGTTTCCCAAGATTGTAGGGGTTGGAGCCTGATTCTGTGTGTAGTGAGGGGGGGTGAGCGTGGCCAGGGGAGAGGACAGGGATCTATTGTAGACAGAAGTGGCTAGGTTGGGGCAGGACAGGATTGAGGTTTTGTACTAAAGGGGATCAGTAGCAGAATAGAGGAGAGAAGAGTTAAAGAGGCAAAGGGTTCCACAGGTAATTGTTAAGCGGTTGGAGGAAGAGGGGATGCAAGGCAAGGAGTGAGTATGTTTTTCTTTTTAACTTATTGTCATATTATCCCTGACTAATACCACCAAACAAAGGATCTATGTGTCTCAAAAAAAAAATAAAATGATAAAAAGTTCAATTGGGTACAGCGTTCCATGAGTAATTGTCATTCAATACATGACAAACTGAAAAATTGCGTGGACTAGAAGGGGATGAAACTGTCTGCACTTGATGTGGTTAAACCAGGTTTTGTGAATGTGCAAGGTGTGCCCGATAAAGATGACTGCTGTCATCTTTTTGTTTTTGTGTATTTACATCTATGTGACTTACAGAAAACACAAATAAAGTCAAAGATGATCTATAACATACACATGCCACTAGGTGAGATTTTGCTTTTGTGCATACCAAGTTATCACATTTTCAGCAATACCTTCTGAATTATTACCTGTCATGTAGATTGTGTAGCTTTCATTTCATTGCCCCACATATAATCAGTTGTAAAGCGATCCAGTGAATAAAATAAGTTGGACATGGCATACCGTGCCAAAAGAAAAAAAAAAAAGAAAGACCACATACCAGTGAAGTCTTTGAAATTGTTTTACTTGGTGGCAGCGTACCACATTTAGCAAGGTAAAGGTTTGCGTCTACTAGGGAATGTTCAGTGTACATTTCAGCTGAGGTTCTTTCATGAGCACAAACAGGTAGGTCTGTTTAGTTACTTCTTTTAGTTCAGTGCACAGTAGTGCTTTTGTTTTCATTTTTTTTGTTTTTTGTTGTTGCTATAAATGATTTCTGAAGCCAGCCTGCTATGATTTAAGTACCTTGAGCGTAGATTCACTTGTTGTTTAACTTAATTCTGAAGTACAGTGTGCACTGCCAGTTTATTTTTCTTTTTGATTTCATGGTTGTGTTGGGTTCTAAATATGCTTTAGATGAACCTATGCTTACTGAGTTCAGCTAAAATTAAATCACAGCATTAGTCCTGTAAATTTGACATCTTTTATGATTTAACAGTCATAATTTTGCTTATGTTTTTGCAGAAGTCATCTATTAGTATTTAAAAGATGCTGTGAGCTTAAATGCAGTTGTTAAAGATTGAAATTATTCATAGGGGTACTAATTGTTGAAAAGAAGCGTCTGTATTCTTAAGGCTTGATTTATAAAATGCAAATGGACTGTCTACTTTGCAAGGGCAGTTACACTTTACAAGTGAATTTTCACCAAAGTGTAGTGAATGAGGTGAAGCTCTGCTGACTTTCATCATCCAATGGTGCAAGCCTAAATGTTTTTTTTTTCCTTGCAGGTGATTGGGTATTCTTTGCAAAATGAGATTTCACCATATTTACGAGGCTTTGGGAAAAATCCCCATGCAAGATGCAAATTGTGCAGCCTATTTGCAATAAATCAACCCCATAGTATCTAGCTGAATATGTCTGACAATAATTTTGAAATGGCACCTAAAGTACCTTGT